TTAGCCTGTTGGTGCTTTAGCTTTTAGTTAGCCTGTTGTTACTTTAGCTTTTAGTTAGCCTGTTGTTACTTTAGCTTTTAGTTAGCCTGTTGATACTTAAACTTTTATTTAGCCTGTTGTTACTTAAACTTTTATTTAGCCTGTTGTTACTTTAGCTTTTATTTAGCCTGTTGTTATTTTAGCTTTTATTTAGCCTGTTGTTACTTTAGCTTTTATTTAGCCTGTTGTTACTTTAGCTTTTAATTAGCCTGTTGTTACTTTAGCTTTCAGTTAGCCTGATGTTATTTTAGCTTTTAGTTAGCATGTAGTTATTTTAGCTTTTAGTTAGCATGTTGTTATTTTAGCTTTTAGTTAGCATGTAGTTATTTTAGCTTTTAGTTAGCATGTTGTTATTTTAGCTTTTAGTTAGCCTGTTGGTACTTTTAGCTTTTAGTTAGCCTGTTGTTATTTTAGCTTTTAGTTAGCCTGTTGTTACTTTAGGTTTTAGTTTGCCTGTTTTTACTTTAGCTTTTAGTTAGCTATTGGTACTTTCGCTTTCAGTTAGCCTGTTGGTACTTTAGCTTTGACTTAGCCTGTTGTTACTTTTACCTTTTGGTTAGCCTGTTATTACTTTTAGCATTTTATTTTTAGCTTTTAATTAGCCTATTGTTACTTTTAGCTTTAATTTAGCCTGTTGTTACTTTAGCTTTTAGCCTTTTAATACCTTTAGCTGTCATTCTGTTTCTTTAGATATAAATGTATTTATACTCTGTCTTAGTTCTGGTCTGAGTTCTGGTTTGGGTTCTGGTCTGCCTTCTGGATCTGAACTGGACCAAGCTGAAGGTACTCATCCAACCAGTCCTCCTCCATGTCCCTCAGCTCGTCCAGCAGGACCTGATCAGGACAGGGGGTCAGAAACTCTGGGACAGTCTGCTGGAGGTCCAGCTCAGACCAGGGGGACCTTTGGGGGACGGACCGGTGTGGTGGCAAGACCTGGTCTAGTTTGGCTTTGACCAGAACTGGGAGCTTGCTACCCCTGCGGGACTTGACGGGTCGATACTCTGAGGTCCGCAGGAAGGTCAGGATCAAGTCTAGTCCAGACCGGAAGTCCTCTCTCTGGGTTTTATCACAGTGGGGATCCGGTTTTCCTGAAGCCTCCTCTGGTTCTGGTTCTGCCTGGTCTTTATGGTTTGTGGGGAGGTCCAGAGACTCTACAGAAGACGCAGGACTGGGAGTCCTCAGTTCCATTCTTGAAGATGCCTCGAAGGTCACAGGTGGTACCTCAGATCCTGTAGAGGTTCTGGTCTGGTCCTCCCCTCCCAGGGGGGCTGTGTAGTACCAGGTGGACGGCCCACAGGAAGTACTCCTGCGCCCAATCCTCCTGGGTACGTTACAAACTGCCTCATAGTCCGAGTCCGTGACCCGGAGCGCAGYGCAGCCCCGGCACCGCCTCGGCTTCTGTCCAGAGTCTGCGCCGGTACACTGGTGGACCTGCTGGCCCAGGTCCTCCTTGTCTGCCCAAGACTCGTACACAGAGTACGCCAGGTCATCCTGGATCAGGTTTGAGTACCTGACCTCCCTCAGAGGGGACAGGTCCACCATGCAAGCTTCATCAGGCAGACCCTCTGCCCCGTCCTCAGGGTTGTTCCTGCTGTACAGACCCCCATCGTCCGGGTTGTTCTTGCGGTACAGACCCCCATCGTCCGGGTTGTTCTTGCGGTACAGACCCCCGTCGTCCGGGTTGTTCTTGCGGTACAGACCCCCATCGTCCRGGCTGTTCTTGCGGTACAGACCCCCGTCCTCCAGGTTGTTCCTGCTGTACAGACCCCCATCGTCCGGGTTGTTCCTGCTGTACAGACCCCCATCGTCCGGGTTGTTCTTGCGGTACAGACCCCCATCCTCAGGGTTGTTCTTGCGGTACAGACCCCCGTCGTCCGGGTTGTTCCTGCTGTACAGACCCCCGTCCTCAGGGTTGTTCCTGCGGTACAGACCCCCGTCCTCAGGGTTGTTCCTGCGGTACAGACCCCCGTCCTCAGGGTTGTTCCTGCGGTACAGACCCCCGATGCACTGCCGCAGACGTTCCTTCTCCCGCAGCAGCTTGTGGAGGCACTCCAGGGACAGAACCTCCACCCGGGCCACCACCGTGTCAAAGCGGTACATCCGGTCCAGCATGAAGGCGCACTTAGAGCAGGTGAACTCCCCGCGCCCATCCCGGGTCAGCTCCTGACCCAGGGCGTGGGACAGCAGGACCTGCAGGCTGAGTTTGGACCCTGGGTGGAAGATCCAGCGGCGCTGGTTCCCACAGAGTTCCCTGGCACAGATCCTGCAGGTCTCCTTCATCTTCACCACGTCCAGCATCACTACAGGGTCCAACAACAGTCAACAGGATCCAACGAGTCAAAGAGGTCCAACAAGAGTCAACAGGGTCCAATGAGTCAATGGGATCCAGTGGGGTCCAACGAGAGTCAGCGGGGTCCAACAAGTGTTGACAGGGTACAATGAGTCAACAGGGTCCAACGAGTCAATGGGGTCCAGTGGGGTCCAACAAGAGTCAACGGGGTCCAACAAGAGTCAACGGGGTCCAATGAGTCAAAGAGGTCCAACAAGAGTCAACAGGGTCCAACAAGAGTCAACGGGATCCAACGAGTCAGTGGGGTCCAGTGGGGTCCAACAAGAGTCAACGGGGTCCAACGAGTTAAGAGGTCCAACAAGAGTCAACAGGGTCCAACAAGAGCCACCGGGGTCCAGTTGGGTCTAACAAGTCTACAGGGTCCAACGAGTCAATGGGGTCCAGTGGGGTCCAATCAGAAGTCTTTATAAGTTCTGGTTTAATTTTTATCGGATCTTTTAAAGTAGATTTTTCCTGTTTGTTGTTTCAGAAACACATTATGAAAGCAAACGGTCCAGAGGTTCTTGAACAGTTGGACCACAGATTTATCAGAGGTTCTGGTTCCGAAGGTTCTGCAGCATCTTGGCTCCTCTGGACTCAGAAGATGGAGGTCAAACCTGAGACTCTGCAGACCTCAGAGCTCAAATCTCGTCAGATCCTGCAGCCAGAACCGAGCCCTGTGACCCACAATCCGGATGTGGTTCCGTTGTCACGGGTTTTATTTTCACTTCACCGAGCAGAACCAGAATCAAAAAAATCTTTCACTTCCTGTTGGATCCCCCTTTTTTTTTTCTTTTTTTTTTTTTAAGATGCTCCGCTGCTGTCGGAGCTCCGCTTCCTTCCCTTTGATCCTCTTTGACTGACAGAAGAACCGAGCTTTTCCTCTCGTCGATTCGGATCTTAAAAGCTTCACCGACTCCGGGTCCTGTCTCCGGCCCAGGGTCGGTTTCTCCGGTCCGGAGGGAGAGAGAAGCTCGAGCCGGTTCGGCCCAGGCAACGTTGCAGAAAGCAAAGATCGTCTATGTTTGAGTAGATGCGTCACTCTGAGACTAAAAACCACGATTTATTTTTTATCTGAGTACAAGCGACAGTAAAAAGTAAAACAATGTCTTAAGATTAAAGTATTAAAGCACCAGCTAACAGCAGAAAAAAGCAAAACACAGGCCTAAAGCTTAACGTAGAATATTGCTAGCTAAAAGTGGCTAAATGCTAACTAACAGCAAAATGTAGCCCAAAAATTGCTACAAAAGTAGTGTGACTATAAATAAAGTATTAAAATGGTAGGAAGAGGCTAAATACAGTAAAATGCTAATTATGTATTTTTTAACTGACAAGACTTAAACTGTTGATATAATGTACTGACACTTGCATTTTGATATGAAGCTATGTTAAAGAATATTAATATACAGGGGCGAGAATTTTAAAAAGTGTAAACTTCTCAATCCTTTTCGAACAAGTAGCTAAAATGACTGTTAACATTTTTATTTGTGTTTATGTGTATAGGTAATTATGCTACTCTTGTTTTATTTTATTTTACTTGTTAAAAATAAAGAATAAAACAAAAACGCAGCAACACGAGGTATCAAACAGCTGTGCAGACTTCAAAGGGCTAGCTAGAGGCTAAAAATGCTGACAATAATCTAAAAGTAGCAAGCGGCTAAAAAAAAGGTAAAGGTAGCTAAACAGAAGCTAAAAGCTAACAGTGGGAGAAGACAAAACAAATGTTAGCTAAAGCAGATTTTAAAGAGAATTTGTTTTAGCTTTTTAAAGCTTTGTGATGAGCTAATGGCTAGTCCAAACAGTCACACCTCCAAACCTTTACAAGACCTATTTAGGCTTATTTACAGCAGCTAGCTGTAGCACTTCCTGTGCAGCCTAAGGTACTTAACGAGAAAYGGTTTACAGAACAGCACTTTGGTTCAGAATTACTTTGGAACATTAATCTGTTTTAAGCAGGTTAAATATAATCAAACTTTATTTCTTCAAACTGAGCTTAAATATTGTTTTAGCCAAAGAACTCTGCTTCAAAATGACCACAATAATCCTTTAAGGCTGGAGGAAGTTTCATGTTTTCATTAATGTTTGTGACGACATGAAGAACAGGATGGTGTTTTTTCAGTCCTGGTTTTTGTGGCAGAGTGAGACCTCTCACCGATGGACTGAACCATTTCCAGAAACCAGAGGGGTGGACTGTCCCTCTGATCAAACAGAACATCTGTAAGGCTGTACTTTAGAATAAAATTTGAAAATAACTTTGGAATAAAAACACCATTTAAAAGCTGTTCCAGATTTTAATATCAGTTATATTTCTTTTAATTTAAGGTTTCAGGTAAAATGTTTTTTGAATGTTTAGATTTTATTTTCAGTTCTTTTGTAACATTTGTTGTGTTTAACTTTAATTTTGTAAGTCTTGAAAGTCAAATATTGAATTTTACTGCTGTTAAAATAGAATCAGAAACTTCATGATGATAAAAATAACTTCCTGTTTCTGAACCAATCAGCTGTTTGTTGTAAACATTAACCTGACAGAAATAAAATCTTTGTTTCCTCCTGTCCTGAGCCTGTCCTCCACTTAGAGCTGTCCATCCATCCATCATCCAACCATCATCCATCCATCATCCAACCAACCATCATCCATCCATCAATCATCCATCCATCCATCATTCCATCCAACCATCATCCATCCATCCATCATCCATCTATCATCCATCCATCCATCATCCATCCAACCATCCATCCAACCATCATCCAACCATCATCCATCCATCCATCATCCATCCATCATCCATCCATCATCCATCCATCATTCCATCCAACCATCATCCATCCATCCATCATCCATCCATCCATCATTCCATCCAACCATCATCCATCCATCCATCATCCATCTATCATCCATCCATCCATCATCCATCCAACCATCCATCCAACCATCATCCA